CTGGCTGAACCATCACGATTGACTCTTCACTATACTAAAACATCTTACACTGACAAAATGTACCAGATGGGTGATGCTCCTGAATACAGTCGCGATGAATGGCTTAGTGAAAAGTTTAAACTCGGTTTGGGTTAGTTCACTGACAGGTTCACTTGCATTCACTCGTGTTGCTCATTTAGATTTTCCAAATTTACCCTATCTGATCGATGGCAACTTCAAGCTCACACAGTCGAAGGCCATTTTGTACTATCTCGGTCGCCAAAATAATCTTATGGGAAAGAATCCAAAAGAGGAAGCCCTGATTATGATGCTCTGTGAACAAGCTCATGATCTTCGTATGAAATTCGGCATGTTTTGCTTCGGTCCAAATGGCGATTCGGAAAGTGAAAAGAAAAAGTTTCTTGATACGACACTTACAGAAGAAATAAAACAACTCAATGCTTATCTTGACAAGAACAATAGCAAGTTTGCTGTTGGTGATACCCCCACTGTGGCTGATTTTCAATTATTTGACTATATCGATTGTTGTTGTTCAATCGATGGTGGACGTACATTGCTCGACAAATATACAAATGTGCAAGAGTTACTTCAACGAATTCGTGAATTACCTGAATTGAAAGATTACATTATCAAGTCACACGCTCAATTACCGATACATGCCAAAAGTGAGTTTCATAACTACAATACATATATTTATCACGTGTATATACCGTTTGACTTTATTCTAGTAGCCAAGTTCGGAACAAAAGTAATCGAGCAAAAGTGAATCAACAGCAAATGCTCCCACTGAACGCTTTGATAAGAAAGATCGATTTTTAGAAATATACTAATGATTCCAATAATCATTCGTGAATATGAGCAATGAAGTTATTGCAAGGAAAAGAAGACCTTTATGAGATTTACAAAATGAGCCTTTTCATGTTAGAAAAAAAATGTAGCCTTCACCATATTATCTGAAAAGAGACTCCTTATGTGATAGGACTGTATAAAAAAAGGTGCAGGGCCGTTGTTGAGCACATCGTGTCTCATTGAATAATGTTTCCTTGACAAGGAAAAAGTCCAGTACCCTCACATTTGGTGGACGGCTGCAGAACTACGCAATGTCCCATCAATAAGACTCTGAGAATGAAAAAGAGCTCGATGATAAACTCCGACAAAAAAGACAAGCTACAACAATGACCATACTTCTACAATTTTCTTTGCGCTGTGAGGGTGTGGGTGTGATTCTTTTTTTTCACCCACACATACACCCACGCCGAGCCACCCACACCCACCCACACCCACACCCACCCACATTCACACCCACCTACACCCACACTCACACCTCACCCTCACCACCAGCCACTCACACCCACCCTTAAGTTTTTCAGGAGAATATTTATCTATCGTCTAACTTTACTAGCTGATACCCTCTGTTTAAACTTATTAGTATGGCTCATATAGTAGAGAAATCTTCAAAAGGATTTGTGTCATTGCCATTTTGTTTCAGAGAAACAAGATATTTTTGACAAATTCATTTTACGCATTTTTACTTGTTGTAGAAAGATCAACTGTATCTAATCCAATGTTCTACAAATGGAGGAGAGAAATTCATTGAATCACCTTTTCTATTATTTTTTCATGATATTTTTTCACATCTGTGAACGATTTTCTTTTCTATATCTTATCCATGCGTTTTTCGGACATAATAAACATGCGAAAGAATAATAGAAGGTAGAAGTAATTTTCACAAAGGATGTGCGAAAGTAAACCATTCTCTTCCACAAGGTACATCTTATTTACATTTTTGGATTACAAGTTGCTTGAAAATGAATGCCACTTTTAGAGAAACTCGTTATGCTTGTTTCTCAGGAACAATGCAGCAATGGCAAAAATACTTTTGGAGATTTCCTCTATTCTATGATCCCTACTAATAAGTAAAATATTAGCTCAAATAGAGGCTATCAATTGGTGAAGTTTCCTCATCATTGAAAATGAATATTTCCACTAAACATAGGACTTGTCATTCAGTGCGAAGAAATTTGTTTCTGTATCATAATTTTCTTTTACGCTCAAAACAAAATAGCAATTGTTTTACAAAAGTCCTCTAGAAATCGGTACATATCGGAGAAGCTCAATATTCTTCGATTCTCTCGCCAATTTTGAAGCTTAGATCTAATATTCTAGTGTGATTGTATAGAGAATGGAACAGAGAATTGTTTGAAATCAAGCGTAGTTTTCTGTCTACAAATGTCGATAAGATAAAAAGAAAATACCTTGTACTACCGGTAATAAGAACTGTTCATGATGCCATAAATCTAGAAATATGAAGAATAGAAATAGAATTTTTCTTTTTCCTGTTATAAAGATTTAAAACAAAAAAGAAAAAAAGAATTTTAATTTCTTTCAGTTTGTTGTTTAGATATAATTTCATCAAGTTGACGTTCTAATTCAGCTAATTCTACTCGAGATTTTGCAAATAAACGTTTCAAATTCTGCTTGTTTAGCTGTACCATCAGTTAATATTTTAGTTCGTATCATTTTTTACACAAGTATTGTTGCTTTACGTTCATGATATTTAGTTGCACGACGTTGTGTAAAACGTCCCATAGATAAAATTGGTAAAGAAATTATAGCTGTTTAGAATACACGATTCCGATTTGTTGTTAAAAGAAATGCAACCATACATGCTTCTTTTAAACAAAGTGTTCCACTTATTGGTCTATTTTTTGATATTTCAATAAACATAGAAAAATTTTGTTTTAGTTTATCCCCGACTGTTGCTGGTGGAGCATTAGGATCAGTTAGTGGTGGCATATCTAAAGTTATAAAATGTTTTTACATAAAGTGTACAGCTTAATGGAAGAAAAAAATACAAGAAATGAGAATTAATTTTAATTCTTATGCCAACTGTGTGTGGGTGTGATGTTGTTTTCCACACCAACACCCACCCACATCCCCAGGCAAGGATAAAAATGGTAAAATGGCATTAAAATGTCTATAAATGGTAATTATTATAATGATGTAAAACGGTCACAAAAAATGCTTTTCATGTGAGGCATTAAAATATGCGTTATGTAACGCATTAAAGTTGTTATTTTTTGACCAGTGATGGATATGTTTGTATTGTTAGTTAATAAGGTTAGATATATTCTGACCAGATTACAGTTCTCATCATTAAACTAAGAAATTTAAAATATAGACTTCTGTTGTCATGCCTAGACCGATATATTCGAATTTTAGAATATTTATATCATATGAAACGTACTCAAAAATCAAAATTTTAGAAGAATTTTTTTCTTTTTTCGTCATAATTGAATAGAGCTTGTCAAGTTATATAAAAAAAAGTATGTTTCAAATTCAAAAAACAAATATTTTACGAAGAAGTCCACGATAACATTATTTTCAGATATATGGAAAAATACACCCAGAATTTGGATTTCCGTTAAAATTGTTTTGAATTTGAAACATACGTTTTCTTGTATAATTCAACAACCTCTATCCAACCATGATGAAAAAAAAATTCTGCTAAAATTTTGATTTGTAAGCATGTTTCATGTGCTGTAAATATCGTAGAATTCGACTATCTCGGTCTAGACATGCCAACAAAAGCTTATATTTTAAATTTCTTAGTGTAATGATGAGAACTGTAGTTTGACCCGAATATATCTAAACTTATTAACTGACAATACGAACATCTCTATCACAAGCATTCTAAATGTTCCACTCATCTTTTGACTTGTTCTCTTCTTCGTACAAAATTTATATTTTATTCAATGAACTCTCTATAGAACTGTTTGTACATTTTTTCATTTATATCAACTGCTAATATAAGTTACTTGTCAAGAGACAGAAATTGATTAAAATAGACTTGAAACATATTACACTATCTTATTTAAAACAGGACATCGAACAGATTTCTATTTTTCAGCGAACTGCTATAATCGATGGCTGACATCTCGGTATGTGTTAGATATTATTTGTCAATGTAAAATTTAATTGTGAGATCTAATTTTCAATGCTATTTTGAATAAATTGAAAAAACTTGAACTCGTGTTCATTTAATTCAGAGAGATTATGAAAGAAGAGATAGACTGTACTAGTAAATTACAAAAATAATTTATTCAAAAGAAAATTTTTCAAACGTCTAAATTGTTCAAAAATCAGAGGATCGAGTTTGTTTTATTTGTACTTTTTCGTTTATAGTTTAACATTTTCTGAATTGTATTAAGTAAAGAGACGAGTAACATGTTACTACTAGATCATCTTCGTTTTTTAATGAATCGAATTTGTTCTCTCGTTCCTTTTCGATCAATGTTCTTTGTTTGAAGACAAACACTAAACTAATCAGATAATTTAGATATAGAAAAAACAGAACATTAAAACAGAAAGACAAGAAAAAATAATATTTCAGTGATCGTTCGGTTATAAACAGATATAATAATAAATGAATACATAAAGACGATGATAAATAAACAGTTATCTCAAAATAAAAATTTATTCTGACTAAAAGCTAAGAATATTGTACCTCTTTACATTTATAATAAATATAAATTTTTCATAATTTAATTTACGGGTAAATTAAATCGAAAGTAAATGTAAATTGACATCCCTAGTAGAAACGATGAATCACTCACGTAAATATGTCAAACTTTTGCTTTTTCTATTGGTCACCGGTATTTACATTTAATCGATACACTTGAAATTTGTAATACACAAAGATTAGAAAGAGATGCAAAAAATCCTCAAAATATTCTTGCTTATATTGATCAATATGAACATGTTAATGGTCTTCGTATTCTATTTAAACCAAATGATGAACGTTTGTCAATGCTATTTCGCTTCTGTATTAAAAGAATTAATTTGTCATCTACATATCCATGCACGAAAAAAATCTTATGTGTATTTTTATAAATGTTTGATCAAGTTAGTATCTATCTGGAAGTACATTGAATATTTTAAAAAACACTTCTTAACTATTTACGTACTGATGAATCTTTTTTTCTAAGGATAAAACGTTTGTATTTGATGAAGAATCATTTTGTTCCTTAGCGAGCATAAAATAATAATACTGAATTTTCATGAATACAGATTAAAAATTATAAACAAAGTTGAAATGGGTGTGGGGTATGGGTTAAAACAAAACTTGCATCCAACACCTACATGCGACTTAAGGCAAAATAGAAGAACTCAATTCTCAAAACACTGATCTAGCCACTAGATCTACTTCTCAAAAGAGAAGTGTTCCAAGATACAATTCTGAAAAAAGAACTGTTCACTTGGTACAGCTCTTAAAAAAGAACTGTTCACTTGGTACAGCTCTTAAATAAATGCGGAAACTTCGGATTTAAATCCGAGAGTTATGTGTACTTCAAAAAGTGAATGAGACAGATGAGTCGTTCTAGAATATGAGGATATAAAAATTATTCTGGCAAACCCTATCTATAAACACTTGATTTCTATTGGCTACTGCTCAACCAATAGGATTTGGGGATGAATACAGCTCAGATTTGAATAGGGATGTGCAGTTTCAGTATACTGATCACCGATAAAGTCACACTGGCGTTCACTGAATCAGTACATATACTGACACTGACGTTCACTGAATCAGTACATATACTGACACTGGTGTTCACTGAATCAGTACATACACTGACACTGGTGTTCACTGAATTAGTGCATACACTGACACTGACTGCACTTGTTGCACTGACGCACACTGGAACACTGACGTACTGATACTGATTTCCATTGACTAGGATTTATACACAGAAGACGACGACATATTCCGCTTGTAACATGTGGATTAACAAAAAATTTTCATCGAATGGATGCATATCTGCTTAGCAGTTCGGTTTCTTGGTTGAGATTAGCTACATACACTTTTACGTACATACACTTTTTTCACCATTGCATAAAAAAGAGTAAATAGAGCGAAAAATTTATGTAATCGTAACGATACAAATAGTTTTACAAAGTCCACATAAATTTTAAGAAATGCTCATCTTCTTTAAATGAATCTGGTTGAGTCATAGAATCCCGTAGTTATGTGTCAATATTAGGACTATAAGTGTCGTATTTCGTTGAAATTGGCTTTATTATTTAAAATTATAGATTACTTAAATGAATCCTATTTTCTGGAGGAATAGGTATGGCCATTTCGATCAAGTGAATTTACCCAAACATGCTAACCAAAAAATTGTGGTTCACTTCATATGGGAAAAATGGACCAATCAAAATGCGAGCCCTTATTTTACTGTCATCCAACCGTTTTCCCAAAAGAGAACAATAATATTCACAACCCGGAAGTGTCATTCCTAACAAAGAACAAACGTACTCACTACCCGGAAGTCTTATTCCCATAATGGAACAAAGGTACTCACTACCCGGAAATGCTATTCCCAAAACGGAACAAAAGCACGCACTACGCGGAAGTGTCATTCCCAGAACAGAACAAAAGTACTCACTACCCGGAAATGGAATTCCCATAACTGAACAAAAGTACTCACTACCCAAAGGTGTCATTCCCATAACAGAACAGGACTACTCACAATCTGGAAGTGCTTTTGTTCTGTTATGGGAATGACACTCCCGAGTAGCGAATACTTTTGTTCTGTTTCGGGAATAGCCCTTCCGAGTTGTGAGTAGTATTGTTCTGTTATGGGAAAGACACTTCCGGTGCTAGAGTACTATATATTCACAGTAGGTATAATATGGACTAATAGATTCCACCTTGGCTCACGCCAACTTTGGCTCACTTCACACGACCGGTAAAACATGGATTTTGGACTCATGTTTGGTTAACGCCAACTTTGGTTCACTTCACGTGACCAGCCATTTCGCTAATTTCATTGACAGTCATAAATAAAGTCATGAGCAGTGGATACTTTGATAGAGTCAGCGACTTGATACTTCAGTGAGCATCGCTGTTCCGATGAATCCTGACACCGGTGCAGTCAGTGTCAGTGTATGCACTGGTTCAGTGAACACCAATGTCGGTGCAGACAGTGGAACCAGTGCAATCAGTGTCAGTGTATGTACTGATTCAGTGAACACCAGTGTCAGTGTATGTACTGATTCA